TGTCATTCAATTTGATGATGTGAGCCTTTCAACACATTAGGTGTTGTTATAGTTGTTAGCCTGCTAAAGTATATAAGAAAAGAACAGCTCACTGCATAAGATATTTTGTTTCAGGAGTATAAACCATTTACATGGTAGATCTCACTATATTACAGCACGTATAGGTAGTTTAACATGTTAAGCTCATTTAAAGGGTAATAAGGAGAGAGGAGTAATGGAAATCCTTGTCATTATAACTTGCTCAAATGTGTTGGAAACAGGAACATCCCACCGCATGATTATTGATTATTTCACAACGTGTAAACACTAATTTGGGTATTTTCTTGAAGGTCTGCAAGTCTGAGGAATAGGTTTCAGATCTGCAAATACAAAAGGCCGCCTATTTTCAGTGGTCACAGTGTTGGTGTATGAAGTGTTATACACTTTATCTGGCTCATGTCTTGAATTTTTACATGACCTGCTCTATGACAAGTGCAATAAGATAACTTCTGTTATGAACTGGAGAGCTATAAATACAATTTAACTGAATTAAGGCTTTGGGGGAGTGAATTAACAATACTGTGTATGTTGAGCTCACTAACATGAAGAAGGAGCATTAACATTTTCTCCAAAAACTAAAGTATTCAACTCCATTGTAATGTTTGAGCAGTGCATTGTGGGAGAATAATTAACAAAAACAAACAAAATACAAATTAAAGTCAAAATAACCAGAGTTTTAAAAAAGAAATTAGAATGAAATCAAAAGAAAAAAGTTCATTAATGTATTTTACATGACGTGTTTGCTTCTCTGTTGCCTGTCAGGGACAAATAAAGTGACTGATCAGCTGATCACTTTGTGTTTGTTGATAGAAACCTGATAAACGGAAGCAGCTGCAGACAGAAAACAGATTTCTCTTCACTGTCGTCTCTGAGCCGTGTCAAAACCAGTTTATCTGATGAACTGTTCCCCACCAAAACCAGTCCGACTGGAAATGGCTTACACCCTAAAAAAAGAGCAAGATTTATCAAAGCATGCGTTACCTTCAGAAAACTTTCCTTTCATAATTCACAATGCACACGAGATGTGCGCAGGTGGATCAGCCTCACATCCTCCAGCCCTGCACACGCCCACATTCAAATGAATCACAGCCACAACAACCGAGAGGAAGACGGAAAAAGAGTTTCTCTCACACAGAAATCCAGGAGCTCGTGAGCACTTTGATGCAGCAGGTTCACAAACCAAAGAGAATGCAGCGAACTTAGAAGCCCCCAGGTCGACTTTATACATCGGTGATCGTATCGAACACACACCTGTCAGGTGATTCCCGCTGCTAATGTTTGGTTCTACAGACCTGGTGACGTAACGACTGATCTTAGCCAGTTGGTGAACCTCTGTAGCAGGAGTGCTAACTGCTAACATGCTAGCCAACTGGGCTAGCACTAGTCAGTCCCAAAACATCTCTCAGAGCATCTATTCTATCGCATTTTATTCATCAGTGGTCACCAGTTTGATTAATAAAAAGTAAGTAACACAGGCGACACAGCTGTATCAGCACGATGTCCTCCTGACTGTGGTAAACCCGGTCAGGAAACAGAGGGGCTTCAGTACACCTGGATGTTAGCAACACAGCTAATAAGCTATGGTAGCTTCCTCCATGTTCGACTTTCCGCCCACTCAGAGGTCAGCAGGTCAGGACGGCTTGGTGTTATTAGTATTAGATTTTTTTTCTCAGCCTGCCAGAGCATCTGTCAGCTGATACATAAAGATTATGACATGTAGAAACATCTCCATGTTGCAATAAACAGTATGGCATCTGTTGAGTGAGCGTTTCATCTTCAGTCTGACAGTAAAAGTCAAACAGTCCCAGTTACAGCTGCCATCACAGGACTCATGACGTGCAGATACATAACGGGCTCTATCATTATTGCCACATGAAACACAGCAGATCAGTGCTGAACGCTCTGGGTGACATTACGGCCTTATTGTAATATCAGCAGCAGTTTGCACTCGTTTTGTCATCGTCATAGCAGCTGAACTGGCGTGATGCGGATCAGCTCTGACATGATCTCAGTACTCATCCACCCGTTAGTGACTTCCTGTTTCAAGAGAAAAGGTCCAAGTTGCAACAATCTGCTGACACTTTAGTTATAACAGCAAGGAGAAGCTCCCAGATGGTGACCAATTAGAACGCGGTTGATTTGGGACTTTGTCATTTTTATTTTTTTTGTAATTTAAGTCTTTATTTATTTTTAACATTTTTAAAAAAAAACAAAACCAAAAAACACACATTAAACACATGATTAATTCACATTTGCATTTTGGGCCCACTATCAATAACCACTACAGACAGACACAAAAAAGATACAATAAAATCAAATTATAAAGTGCCTATACATGCAACACCACAAAAATAACATTTAACAAAAGAGAAGCGCACTGAAGAAATAAAACATCCATCAATCTCAGTCAAAAACTCGTCCCCAAGATTTGTCAAAACCCTCCAAATCATCATTAATCCTGGCCAAGAATTTTTCATATGACACAATTTTCAGCATATTTTCTTTCCACCTGTTAAACTCTGGAGGAGATGGATCCTTCCACACACTGAGAATCACTCAGGCAGCTGTAATCACCCCTCTTCTTCATCCACAGAAAATCTTTAATTATCTTCTCAAACTGACTAAATATATGTAAAGGAATTCTTACGGGTAACATCATGGAAACATAACTGAACTTCGGGGCCACCACCATTTTCATCACATTAATTTCACCCCATAGTGTAAGATTCAATTTTCCCCATTCATCCAGATTTGTTTTTATTTTTAGGAGGAGAGGTTCCATATTTGAAAGCATAATGTCCTCTAGGTCTGGGTTTAATAATATTTTTTTAAAGTTTCCCTGCCAGTCAGTCAGAACTGAAGAAGTCCTTTGGATGAGGGACAAACGTCTTCCAGTATCTTCAACCAAGTCCAGCTGCCCTTGACTTTAACCTTCGTTGGATAATCCTAAATACTTCACACCCAAAGGTAAACACTTGAAATTCAATGTAGTAATGTATCTAGAATGGCAGGATGCTGAAAGCGCCATGCCTTCCGATTTGGAACAATTTAGACTTGCTTTCCATTTTTAAGACACATATTTTTAACCTGGCATATCCCACGTGATCCCTCTTTCAGGAGTCAGAGTGTGTGAGCGATGTGGTCACTGTAGGATTACAGACGGATTACAAAATCCAGACAAAACCAACCGCAGGTGTCGTCACGGTGACTGAATCACACGCTTGGAGGCAGCGAACGGCTTCATGTTTGACTTTAATAAAGAATAAAACATCAGATGTTTCACAAAGCGAAGACGTCTTCATGTTGCCAGTAAATAGAGAAAGAAACGAACAGAGAGGCAGCTGTTGTCCAGAGGAGACGTCAAGTTAAAGTCCTGCAGAGACACAGTTCAACTTCCCACAGACTTCATGGACCTTTGATTTGGTTTGGATTAAAGCTTTTTGTCCTTTCACCTCCTCCTCGGAGACCCGCCTGCTTCTTCCATTCCTTATAATACAGACAGTCAGACGGTCAAGTTACGGAGCGTCATCTGAAACACACGGCATCATTTTACTGGCACATTAAGAACAATGTTTTATTTTAATTTAAACAGTGACCTGATGGCTCTCTTCACCTGCAAGGCTTTAACAGAATTTAAATGAATAACTAGATAAATAAATCTGTTTTCTGTTTATAGACTCTTTTTCTGATATTTTCTTTTCTTTCTTTATAAATAAATATGATTAAATGAATAAATTACATTTCTTTGAAGACTACATTTTTTTATTCAGCTTCCGGGGCTCCCAAGTCTCGTGGGACACGCGCATTTCAGCCAGTTCACGCGCTCACACCTTGTATTTCTGACGCTGAGAAGTTAGTTAAGAGATAACGTCCTGTTCATTAATGGACGATCATTTCTGTGCCTCATCTCTGTAGCTGCTAAATGCCAATCACAAATTAAAATGTGTTGTTTCCGGTAAACTCCGTCATCGCGAGACCTGATGGATGCGACAACATTTACAGTTTGATTTTGTGATTCCCGGATGAAAACACTCTGCTGCGAGCTGATCTCCGACATTCACGTTAGACGGATTTGTGCAGCGGTGTTCATGATACTAACCAGTCAATACACAGACTGGCCCGCTGTCAACGTGTTATATGCTGAGCGAATATGCACTGCGTGCAGCTCTGCAGTCAGATACGAGTTTTCCCATCTCCTCCTCTAACACGCGTTATCTCACTCCAAACATTTGATAAAACTTGAGCCCTGTCTGCTCTGGGGATGAGTTCTACCTGCTGTCTGGGTGGATTTTCACAAAGGTCTCATGTTAGAAGTCAATGTTGCAAAAAACTCCCCAGGTAACCTGAATTCAGCCTTTATCAATAAGCACCAGGGGCCGGTTGCACACAAAACCTTAAGTTAAGATTTTCTGTCTGAGTTAAGGTTTCCTAAAAATAAATTTGCACAAAAACACCATTATATCTTCCCCTTAAGGTTTCCTTAAAGTGATCACTTAAGTATTTAAGGCTTTCTCCTTATCTTGGTCTTATACTTAAGTAATCCCTTAAGTGTGTTAAAGAGACAGTCTAGTTTAAATCTACAGCCTAAATAAAGTTATTCTCACCAGTTTTATTGGGTTCCTTTTTATAATTAGTGATCTATTTTTTGACAAGAACAGACAAGTTGTCATACTTTTGGAGTTACTTAATTCTTTATCAATGCAGCAAACACCTTAATGCTTTTTCTTAACTACAGAAACGTTTAAAGAGATTCTGTGCAGCACCCTTAAGTAAAATCCTTAGCTAAGGTGAAATTCAGACACCAGTTTTACACCAGTTTTTTGTGTAATTGTAAAAAAATGAAAAAAAGAAATTTCTCTTCAATGTTTAGTGTGTTCAGTTATCACCTGTTTAAGCAACTGTATCTATTTATGTAAAGTATATGCAGTGGTGTTCTGGTAAATCAACCTAACCTGCTCAAGTTAGTCTCATAAAGATTCTGCAGACTTTGTGGATAAATTCAACATGCTAAAATTATTTCTGTACGCTGATTTCTACTTCATCTCTTACCGACAGCATTTCCTCCTTTAACATTTTCAAAAAAAACAAGGTAAAAACATTTGTTTAAAAATATAACAGGAGTAACTTTAATACCACAACAAATGGGTTCAGTGCACAAACACATACAGTATCTCACAAAGGTGAGTACACCCCTCCCATGAATTCCAGACTCCATCCAGACTCTGTGCAGAGTGGAACCTCCACATCACACAGCCATTAATATCTAAACCGCTGGCAACAAATGTGAGCACACCCCTAAGTGATTATTTTCCAGCACTGCCTTAACCCTCTCGGGCATGGAGTCGCCACTGGAGTCCTCTTCCACTCCTCCATGACGACATCACAGAGCTGGTGGATGTTAGAGACCTTGTGCTCCTCCACCTTCCGTTCGAGGAGGCACCACAAATCCTCAATAGGGTTCATGCAGCCCCAGACCAGGACACTCCCACCACCATGCTTGACACATTTGTCTTTGTGCTCCTCACCTGGTTGCTGGCACACACGCTTGACACCATCTGAAACACGTAAGTTTATCTTGGTCTCATCAGACCACAGGACCTGGTTCCAGTAATCCATGTCCTCAGTCTGCTTGACTTCAGCAAACAGTTTGCGGGCTTTCTTATGCATCACCTTTAGAAGAGGCTTCCTTCTGGGACGACAGCCATGCAGACTAGTTTGATGCAGTGTGCGGCGTCTGGTCTGAGCCCTGACAGGCCGACCCCCCACCCCTTCAACCTCTGCAGCAATGCTGGCAGCACTCAGACATCGCTTTCCAAAAGACAACCTCTGGTTATACAAGCTGTACGCTAGAGAGCTGCACTGGGATTAGCAAAGTGTCATTTCTTCAGTGTTGTCACATGAAAAGATAAAATCAAATTCCAAAAATGTGAGGGGTGAACTCACTTTTGTGAGACACTGCACATACCTGCGGAGTATCCATGAACAGCACATGCTCCTGTCTCCAGTCTGATAGAGACAAGATGGTGGCGGCAGCGTCTAAGAGGAGGAGCCTCAGACAGAAAGGTTCTGCTTAAAGCAACCTGGACTCGGACCGGACCAGCCAGAAAGTCAGCACCGGGGTGAGTACACGGCTCTGGACCGGAGTGACAGGTTAATTGGTGAAGTTCCCAGATGTCAGTCAGTCTTTGTCTTAAAAGATTTTCTGTACGCTGATTTCTTATTTATCTCTTACCTACATTTACTCCTGTAACATTTTCAAAACAAATAAAGCAAAAAAACTTTAATACTACAACAATGGGTTCAGCGCAGTACACAAACAACCAATCTCACGTATTAGAACAAGTACCAAGTTGTCAGGAGTGCAAGTAAAAGGTCATGTCTGCTGTTGGTCCATAGCACCTTCTGAATTACATTCATTACACCTACAATTACAAGGCTGTTACGGTCCTGGCCAGGTACGTCCTTTAACCGCAGGGGTTCTGAAATTTAACAGTGATCAAATAAAGGAGTACTGGCTTGCTTTCCCACCACTGCTATATTTCAGTTAAGATGTGCAAAAACCAAATTTAAAAAAAGCTCTGTTAAACACACACCTGACACCTAAATGAAAGAGGTACATTTACATACTACACTTGCTTTAAACAAAAACATACATTAAGGCACGCAAGTTAATGGCGTAGGTGTCAAAAGTCCAGCAGAGTCTGGGCCATAGACCGTATCTAAGAAGCGGACGTAGTCATGGTGACGTCACCCGTTGGTTTGTGACTGCCGTTTTGAAGCCTCGAGTTTGGCCGATAGGGCGCCGCCATGTGGAGTTTTTGCAACCAGGAAGTGGCCGGAAGTGACGATACGGCGGAGCTAACGGCCGTGTGCGGAGCTAGCTAGCTAGGTGCAACTGTAACTCACATTAACGGTCATTTTAACAGGCGAACAACAGTCTTAAAACTAAATGTACTCACCAGAGAAAGTGAACCGCCGACTCCTAATAAGCTGTTTAAATTTAGCTGTAGCCTGATTGACAGGTCGCCATGGTAACGACCTGTCAATCATAGATAACCCCGCCCTGAAACATACTCTGCTTTGTGGTCTATTTTAAAAAAATGGGACCATAATTTACTAAATGAACATCACGCTGTGTTGAAGAAGACTTGAAACTAGAGACTGAGACCAGAAACTCATCAGGAAAGAGTTTACTGAGGGAATAAATCAGCTGACAAGTAGAAACATTTTATTTCTAATGGAGCCCGACTTCTTTTTGCAACCAGAAGAGTCGCCCCCTGCTGGATTTTCAATAGAATGCAGGTTTCAGCATTCGCTTCATATCGTAGACCGGAAGCTTCCCGCTTGGTCTGGGCTTTCTTTGACAGCGTGTTGCCGTTATTGGTATAATAAGGTTATGATCGCAATTGTCGCTCCTGATCAGAGGGTTCTTATGTTAACTTTCTCCAGTTTTATTTTATTTATTTATTTTTTACAGGTGAACAGCTATTCAGTCAGAAATGTAGTCAGTATCAAAACAACCTTCAAATGTACAAAACTGTCTGCTTCTTTCTGAGATCGCTTTTCCCAAAAATTAGTGGGGAGCGCAGTAACAGACAGTGGCAGCGCCGTGATAAAGGTGCGTCAGGACTTGGCAACAGTAACTATGGCGGGCGTGGCTTAGCGAAGGGTCAATTAGAGGCCCAGGAGGGTTGTGGTCCACAAATATAGGACACGCAGTTGTGACATGGATACAAACTGTGTATTTGTAAAGTGAACAACCCCCATTTTCCCATTTATTGTAGGTCATTTAGCTGACCCCATTGGACCAGATCCACATCACAAATCGCTGCTGGAAGGCAAAGACATCAAATTTAAGTTTATGTTCTGTTCAACAGTTGTTTCATAAATTGCTATTAAAACGCATTCGGAGAGGATTTGAAATGCTTTTTTCCTGAATTCTTATTATTTTAGCACTCGCTAAAACCTCTTTGGGGAGGCGCCAAAAAAGAGTCACAGCTCTATGAGCCAAGTATTCCCATAGCTCTCAGTAGTTACGACTTCATGAGCTTCTTTAATGATAAAATTCTAACTATTAGAGACAAAATTCACCAAGACCTGCCCTCAACTGGCACCAACTTATCTCTTAACTCAGGAACCTTAGAAACAGCTGTAGAACCAGATACATGTTTAGACTGTTTTGCTTCCCTCAATCTTTACCAACTAACTTCAATAATTTCTTCATCTAAACCATCAACCTGCCTCTTAGACCCCATCCCGACTAGGCTGCTTAAAGATGTTTTACCCTTAGTCAGCACTTCTATACTAGATATGATCAATCTATCTTTATCAACAGGCTATGTACCACAGTACTTTAAAGTAGCTGTAATTAAACCTCTTCTGAAAGAAAACACTCTTGATCCGGATGTAAAATATAGACTCGGGCTGAGAGCAAGTGTAAAAATGATGATGTCCTGTTCCTTTCCTTGAATGAATAATTAGCAAATAATTCAGCTATCTGAGCCGACATGTTAGGAAATCTGGCACTTC